ATGTGTAGTCACATCAATGTAAACATCACTTGAAACAAGAAGGAAATTTATAATATTACTGTAGAATGATATTGAAATACATGATTAACAAAAAAGACAGCTATTTTTTTTTTCCAATAAGGCCCAGGGGCCACTTGAGTTAGAGGGTTATGTTAAAGGGTAGTTTATATGAATAGAAGAGGAAGATAATGGTTACCTCTAGAGATGAACAGGTTAAGATTGTAGTGATTGGGGAAACATCCTCTTGGGAGTCTGTTCCCCTGGGCAGTGGTTCATGAGAAGAATCTGTTTGAATGGAACTGACTTCTCGCCGATGGAATACAAAGGGGATGTAGATGGTTTGCTACTATGTAAGTGACATGACGGATCCTAGTTGTGACGGTTAAACCTGGTGGAACCAAGGAATGTAGTTCATCCAAGCACTTTCCGTGAAAGTAGCGATAGAGCAGTTAGAGACTTGGCACATCCTGACTGTAAGAGAGAGGTTGGAGGGTGGAAAATAATTCTTCTCCAACAAAGACTCAGACGTTTTTGAACTCTATCAAAACTGGAAAGTGAGGATTGGGCATCTCTCACCCAAATATGGCAACGGTACACCATTTTTGTCCTAATCTAGCTCTTATAAAGGTAGAGGATGAGTAGTACTTACTGGAGCAGTACAGGCAGCTGATCATTTTACCTGCATCTTTAGTGATGAATCGTATGTAAGAGTTCCACTTGAGGTCAAGAGTGAGTTTGAGGCCCAATATTCTCTTGAGGCTCAGTGCCTCTTCAAGGGAACATCTCTTCATTTTGACTAGAAGAGGAAGATAATGCCTCAAAAACCAAACTAGTTACTAGTTTGGTTTTTGAGGCATTAAATGTAATCAGCCAGTTATTCCCCCATTATAAAGTTAGTGTTAGATCAAAAGAGAGGTCAGCTGGCAATCACTGATTGTCAAAAGTTTTAGCGGAATGTCCATATATTGTTGTAGCATTGATATAGATGTTAACAAATGTTCTAAGTATATTCTTATCCAGATGATTAATCAAAATTGGAAAGAGGGTTATCCCGAGAAGCTAAATTGGTTTTATCATTCATCTTTTATCAGAGTTCTAATCAAGAATGAAAATGTGTTCAACGATTAATAATGGAAACCCATGACAAATCTATGAAAGAAAGTATAAGCCTTAAAGGATAATTCTGAGAGGATTAGAAAACCTACCAGAGATTCATTATGCAAATGGCACAGTGTTGATAGCAGACAGAGAAAGGAAACTACAGGAACTCCTACAGAAGGTAGAGAAGGAAAGCAAGAAGAAAGAACTAAACATCGATTGCAAGATAACTGAATACATGTTTGTTAGCAAAAGGAACAGGCCAACATGCAAAATATGTTGGAGATGCGAAAATAAAAAAACGGGTTCAACAATTTAGATATCTGGGAAGTGTATTAACAGAGGACGGAAAGTGCGATATGGAAATCTGAAGGCGCATCGGGATGGTAAAAGTGCCTTTCAAAAGCTAAGCAAAGTATTAAGAAGTAGAAAAACATTGAGAGATACAAAGAAAAGGCTACTGAACTGTTATGTGATATCAGTCTTGCTATATGGCAGCAAATGCTGGACAATCTTCTCATACATGAAGGTGAAACTTAAACAACATCAGCAAAGAAAAGAGTACTAAACTGATACATAATATCAGTTCTCCTATATGGCAGTGGATGCTAGACAATCACCTTACAGATGAAGAAGACACTTGAAGTAACAGAAATGTAGTTCTACAGAAGGATACTGAGAATATCATGGACCAAACATGTCAGCAACAACAAAGTTCTAGAAACAATAGCAACAAAAAGGACATGTGTTTAACATCAGGAAGAGACAGTTAAGATTTCTGGGGCACATAATGAGGAAAGAGGGCTTAGAAAACTTGATACTGCCAGGGCAGATTGGAGGTAAGTGAGACAGAGGAAAGCAATGCCTAAACTACATGCCAAGCTTGAGTGGATCAGGGTTTAGAAGAGATGGCATAAAGATAAAAGTTAAGTGTTACAAAGGACAGGAATTTGTGGAGAGCCATGATTGTCAATGCCCTGAAGGGACACAGCACATAGAAGAAGAGATAGTTGCCTTTGAGCTCTCTTTTTGTTAATCCTGCATTTTGATATTACCGTTTTATGGCAATATTTTTATATTAAGTTGTAAATTACATTTAAATATCATATTATATCAAATGACATTTTTAAATTCTGGTAATATTTGATATTTTTTAATTTCTGGTAATATTTTCCTTTTCTGTTATAAATTTTCTTTTCTAGTTTTATTGCATTAATAAAATTTTGTTCCATTGAAAAAATATTTCAATATTTGCAGAACAGGTACTGTGTGAATTTAATTTGTTTGTTCAATAAAGTTTTTATTTGCATTTCCTAAAAGCTTTTTTAAAGTAAACTTTTTACCTCCTTTCCCTGAAGAGGTGCAAAATAATTGTAAGTGTAAATACTTAAATTTGTTTTAGGTACCTGGGGGAAGTCATCAATGACAAAAACGAACGATGGGAAATCCAATTAAAAGGGGCTGGTTTGACTCCTTACTCTCGATCTGCTGATGGCCGAAAAGTGTTGAGAAGTAGTATTCGTGAATTTCTTTGTAGTGAGGTAAGTTTTCTTTAAACTGTTTTGAAATATTCTTTAAAACATTTCTTAGTTATACTTAACACTTCCACTTTTGTGGACATACTTATATCTTTACAAAACTCACACTGTCAATGTACACAAACATTTTCAAGAGACCATGAAATGTTGGTCCTAGCATTTGTGCTATAAATTAACATTTAGTGCCATTTCAATACAACCTGTTTGTCATGTATTTTTAAGATATTATGCATTGGGGTTTTTGCCATTTAGTTTACTACAGACTATATTTATTGCATCAAAAAATTAATTTTGGCAGTGATTTACGAAATGTAGCTTAGTTGTGTGCTATATTCCGTGCTAAGGGAATAAATACTTAACACCAGGTGGATAATAGAAGAAAGGTTTATTGTACACAACCAGTATGATATGAAATACGGTACAGTTATACACACAGGTCAATCTAGTAGTAAGTGTCACTAATTTGAAGGTTGGACATGCTTGCATCTTCTCGCTCTCACTCATCCTCAAGTCTCTCATGGACAGTTGACTTTATAGGTACTTGCAACCTCTAGTGTAATCATTCATGGGGGTGACTGGTTATTCCATTACATCATTGTGGCACAAGGCTGAAATTATGGAGCACTTATTGAGGATCAAACTCACGATTCCATTGTACTTGATCGAGTGAGACAAGCTTGCTAACCATTACACCACACTGAAGTGCCCTAAATGATTTTCTAAGGATAGCTTAGATGTGGCACAGGGCTGAAATTATGGGGCACCCAGTGAGGATTAAACTCACTATTCAGTTGTAATTGATCTAGTGAGACAAGCATTACACCATGTTGAAGTGCCCAAGCTTGTTGAGTATCCAATGAAAACAAAAATGGTGGCGCTCATGAGAAATCAACACCAGTGTCTTTATAGTCATTTATTTTCTATTTTTCTCCAAATGGGCCAGTACAGCCAGGCAGCAATGCAACAGAGAAAGTGTTCTTTAATGATATAATGTCAGGTCATTTACAAAATGCATTTAAAAAAAAAAATCTTAAATTAACTATATTGCCCTTGTGTAACACCAATTTTCTGCCACAGGCATATAATTGTGTACAATATGGCCTGTTTTGCAATGTATTTTTATTATATTGCATAGTCTGTACTGTAAAGTATCCAATCAAAACCAAAATGGTGACACCCATGAGAAATTGCTGCCAGTGTCTTTATAGCCATTTATTTCCACTAAATGACAATTTCCTAATTTTTCCAAAACAAGCCAGTACAGCCAGGCAACAATGCTATAACTGCAGCAGTGAAAGTGCTAACTTTGCACTTGTCCTGAAAATAAGTAGAAATCTATATTTCAATTGATCATCTCCACTTTATCTCCTGACAATCATTCATAATGGCATACTATGAAAAATTGGGATGCACATGGTTATCAGTGACAAAAAGACCATCTCAAACTTGGCATGTGTACATATTGAACTCACACTCTTTGGGTCCTGTCACTTCAATAGCTGGTTAAGGTGGTGGAAAACTTGGAGAGAGGAATTAACAGGAGATAACTGATAACTGACATCCATTAAACATGGCACATGGAACTAGAAAAGTCTACCCCAGTGAGCGAAATAAAGGGTTCAATTCAACATTCCAACCACCTGAAGAAAGCCGGAGCATACTATGGCCGAAACGTAATAAATATAGCGACAAAGATGAGGACAATAGTCTGAATAATGTAAATAGTGTATATTTGTTATTAATTATAAGACAAGACATTTTTTCTTCTTTTCAGGCCCATTATTACTTAGGCATCCCAACAACTCGAGCTGGGACTTGCATTACATCTGATTCAACTGTGATACGAGATATCTTCTACAATGGAAATCCAATAGAAGAAAAGTGCACTATTGTACTTCGGATTGCTCCAACATTTTTACGGTATTTACATATCAGTTTTGAAATCTTCAAAAATGCTTATTTTCTCAATGTCCTATCTGATCCTTTTTAGTGAAAGATTTTAATGCAAAGTTTATGACTATATTTAAGGGAGACTTAAGTAGAATTTTTTTTTTTTTTTTCCTTCAAAAAAAGAAATTTTCAGTAGTATGGGGGTGTTGGAATTGAAAAATTATTGAATTGACCTAATTTCCCAAATTTGAGCACTTATTTTTTTGTATAAGTGGTGTTGAGAAGAAACAATAAACATTTTATCACATTCATTTAACTCCGTCACACACATCATGAGAATATTTTTTTTTCCCTTAGGGAAGATTTTATGCAGCTTTATTTTTTACCTCATTTCGTGTTGTAAATGAACAAGTAATTGAATTCAAAATCAAGCTTTAAAGCTAAGAAATTGAAGCAAAATGGAATTCTTTGAGAAAGAACAAAAATTGATTGATATTTTTACAGATTATTTTTTTGATAGTCTGGCTAGAAACTCGTTTGCCTGTGTCATGTTGAGGAACATTTCATTTTGGCTTTATCAGGCTAGAAATTTTGGGCCCTGTAATCACTGACCTCAATTGTTAGCCACATTCTTTTTCTTTCTTTGTACCTTTCCAAAAAAGAAACTGATCTAGAATTGGGATGAATGCAGAGATGGCATATAACCTGAATATATGATAAAAATTCAGGATGTGGAATGAGTAAATATTAAATACATCAAATACCTTGGCATATGTATCAGTTATAACAAATTTAGTATAGGAGAAAAAAGTTGAACATAGAATAGGCTGTGGCAGAAATAGTTTCACCAAGCATAGCAAATTGCTGCAAAAACAAAACCTCTACCTGAAAGAAAATGAATCACGTTTTTAAATAACCTTGTCAAATTGGGATGCCATGCATGGTGCCAACCCTGTTCACAAATACGTAAATTGTCAGCTGTATACAATCACTTTCTAAGGTTAATGTTGGAAAACGGCAGATGAAGTCTGTAAGTCTTGGTGAGGACTAATCTTCCATGCTTGTAAATGTGTGGATCATAGGGTTTGAGCAAATAAAGGTCTTGATGAAAATCATCCTCCTTTGAATATCATGGACTGGTGCTACAGAAAATTACAAAGAATTGTATCAAATAACAGAAAACACATGAGCTGAGGACTACCAACAGCAGCAACAATTAAAATGGATAGCAAAAACAACTAAGAGGGAAAATGACAAAATCACAGCATTTCAAATAAAACGTTAGGAAGAAAATCCCCATCAATGTTGGAAAGAGCAATAACACTGACTGGAGGTGAGAACCTTGTTTTCTAAAGTTAATTGTTTAAAGAGAAAGATTTTATAAATTTAGACCAAAAACAGTAGTTGAATCTATCATAAAAATTCAGGATTTGAATTAGTAAATATTAAATACTTCAAATACCTTGGCATAGGGATCAGTTATAACAAATTTAGTATAGGAGAAAAAAGTTGAACATAGAATAGGCTGTTCCAGGGGTAGTTTCACCAAACACTGCAAATTGCTACAAAACCAAAACATCAACCTGAAAAAAAACAAATCATGTTCTTAAATAGCTTCATCAAATTGACGCTTTCATATTGATGTCACATATGGTGCCAAACTTGTTCAGAAATATCTAAACTGTCAGCTGTATATAACAGCTTCCTAAGATCAATAGTGAAAAAAGTCTTTGAATGGATAAAGCCTGAGAGTCTTAGCAAAGATCATCATTCTTTAAACATTGTGGATTGGCACTACAGATTCACAAAAAAGAATCGTACCAAATAAAAGAAACCATATCACTTCAGGACTACCAACAGCAGCAACAACTAAAATGGATAGCACATGTAACTTGAGAATATAATGATATAATCAAGATGTTGACATTCCAGTTGACTTTAAATAAAAGGTTAGGAAGTAAACCTCTGTCAATACTGAAAAGAGCAATAACAGCTACTAGACTTGAAGAATCTATTTTCTTGAAAAAATGTTTTAAGAGAAAGATTTTATAAATTTAAACCAAAAGCTGTATTGGCTGTTCGGTCAATGAATGCTAAATATTACCTTGTAGGGAAACATGATCATTATCATCTGTGTAATAATTTTTACAGACCGTTTCAGCAAAATTTATTTAACTCAACATTTTAGAGTTTGAACAAAATTATAAAAAATAGTAAATTAAAATAATTTTATTCTTCTTGATATGTCATAACATTGGGTCAAACTGAAATCAAGGATGAAGAAAGAGTTTTTGGAGATTTTTATTGCTTTGAAACATATAGTTGTTGGATTACTCAATTCAGACTGACTACTGGATTCACTACTAATGTATATAAATCTCTTCCCATCAATATGGGAAAGAGCAAAAACAGCTATTTTTCATGAAAATTAAGAGAAAGATTTTATAAAATTTCAACTGACAGTAGTAGAAGCTACTTGGTCAGTGAATGCCAAATGTTTCCTTATAAGAAAACAGCCAATATTACCTTATAATTACAACTGAAAAAATGGGTATTATATTAAAGTTTTAACTTAATGCTAGACAATCTCCTTGCAGATGAAGATGAAATTTACAGCAACAGAAATGTGGTACTACAGAAGGATGCTAAGAATACCATGGACCAAACTTGTGAGCAATAACAAAGTTTTAAAGAAAATGGAAACAAAAAGAACACTTACATTTAACATGCGAAAGAAAATTCTAGGACACATAATGAGGAAAGAGAGCTTGGAAAACCAGATACTCACAGGACAGATTCAAAGCAAGAGAGACAGAAGAAAACAATGCATAAGATACTTAGTAAGCTTGAGTAAATGGATGGCAGAACAAGGTTTAGGAGGAGAACAAAAATACAAAATTTATTAAGAGCTACAAAGAACAGGAAATTGTGGAGAGTCCTGATCATCTATGTCCCGAAGGGACATGACACATAGAAGAAAATTATGAGACAGGAAACTTTGAAACAAAAGTGTGCTAAACTTCTATGTAATGTCTAATCTCCTATATTGCAGTTAATATTCTGTGAATTGGCTGAAGGAAAAAGACAAAATTGTAGTGTGTATTTGCCCACAAACAGATATTGAATGAAGGAAGACAACAACAAACAAAATGAAAACTTGAGTAAAAACATATATTGCCAAGTCAATTTTCATTAAAGAAAATACATCAACGAAAATAAGGTTAGAGTTTACTAAGCAAAAAATATCTCTGCTTATTCATGTAGTTAGTGAGAAGAGTATTGTCCAGAGCAGGACAGTTTTGGTAGTTGCTGGAGAGTGTTGTCCTGAAAATGTTTCCTTATAAGGAAATGGCTTATATTACCATTACTATTAGAGATGAAGAGAATAGAGATTACAATTTGATCCTAGCATGATGGCTAGGGGGTGAAGAAAAGCGTAACGACAGTAACACTTGTTCTGGGTGCTATATTGGCCTACAAACAAATATATTGCCAAGTTTATTTTTGTTAAAGAAAATAGATCAAAGAAAATAAGAGGGTGAGAAGAATGTTGTCCCAAGAAGGACAGTTTTGTAATGGGATGGTAAAGGGTAAAAAAATTACTTAGAGAAACAAAAGGCAGGAAATTGTGGAGAGCCATGACCACCCATGTCCTGATGGGATTTGGAACATGAAAGAATATTTTTAACATCTTTAAATAGAAAAATGTTGTTATTTGATTAATTTTGGGGCCATTGTTTTTGTTTTTTTTTTTGTCTCACTTTCCAATAGATTTGGGTCATTTGAAATCTTCAGAGGGGAAGACAGTTTAACCAGTCGAAGTGGCCCAAGTGCTGGAAATAAGGAATTATTAATTCAACTGTTAGATCATTCCGTGAAGATGTTCTATCCAGAGGTATGTCAAAAAAAAAAATATTTCTTGAATTTTTTTTTACTTTGTTTTCCAGAATCTTTAATTTTGCTTTCATTGGCTTTAATATAAGGAATAAAATTTAATTAATAATTTTTTTCCAGAGCATTATAATTAGGTGCTTAATAGATGGGAAGGGACATTTTTTTTTAATTACTATAATTATTAATTTCCCACTTTTTTACACTTTAAGATTTTTTTTTTTTTTTTTTTTTTTTTTTTCAACCTCTTTTTTATTAATACTGCTCCATTTATTGCATATTGAAAAAATATTCTGACTCCCCCTCATCAATTGAGCTTATGCCTACATCGTGTTCACAGGTTCCTGTATAATCAATAAAATTAAGCAACGTTGAGTCTGGTCAGTAGCTAGATGGGTCACCGCTTGGGATTACCAGGTGCTGTAAACTTGGATGTACAGATGGTGTAATAGGTAATGGTACAAATTGTTAATCGGAGAGCCGAGTTCCAATTCCTATTGGGTTCATTATATTCACTTGTGTGCAAATACCCTTGGGAAATATATACACCCACCTCTTCTTGTCCCCAGTTATGGGTTAATTAGTAAGATTTGTATCACTAAACCATTATTATCTCTAAAAAATAAAATTGCATACAAAATATTGAGATTTCTGCATTAAATAACATATAGAGCAAAACAAACAAAAATTGATTGTTAAAATCATTTTTTGTATTAGAGGTCCAAGTGTATTTGCCTCTTTAATGGTTAATATATATATATATATATATATATATATAATAAACTGTTACAATGGAACATGCAAGTTACTGTGAAAAAAAAATGCATATTTGTTTTGATGTCCAAAAGAAATCACATTCTTTTAATTTGCTTTTATCTTTCTGTTCCTTTTATGGAATGAATAATATTTTTTTTCTTATAATGTTTCTTTGCCTTCTATGTAAAATTTTCAAAAATGTTAAAAAGAAGCGATGTTTCATAAATCATATTTTTAAATAAAATCGTTTATTACCACCATTGTTAACCGCCTGACATCTTTTGGACATCAAAACAAATATGCATTTTTGTTGCGGTATATTGCATGTTCCATTGTAACAGTTTATAATAAATATTTATTGGTCTACTTCATGTATTGAGCCATTTTGTAAATTAATGTTATGAACGTTTGAATTTATATTCTTTTTGTTCTTTTACATTTGTATATAATATGTAAATTGTTGTACGTGATTCATTTCAATTTATGTTGCCATTGTTTACGTTAACATGCGTTTTGTGAGCAGATCTGATCGATCAAGAAAAATCATCAAAGATTGTGTTTTTATAAACAGAAATTTGAACTTTGCTAACCAGACACTTCTCTGTAGCTAAATGATATTGCACGTCACTTTTAATGACAGTTCCCAGATAGGAATACAGATTTGATTCCTGTTGAAGAACACACATTTTCTACAAAATTTCTCAAGCATTCAGGCCAGTAAATGTAATTAATACTGTTTAGTTAAAAACGGAGAATTTACTTAAATTGTATCTATAAAAATAACATAAATAGAAAATATATTAAATAATTGTCAGACTTAATTTCATATATATATATATATATTATATATATATATATATATATATATATATATATATATATGACATTCTTTTGTTGTTTTGGATCTAATGAAGCCTTCAAAGGCAAAATGTGTATTCAAATCTAGTTTCAATGAAATCTCATTTTCCATTTGTCTTATTTCTTAAAATCTTTTTCAGGATTCTATATTTTCCTACACACACAAAACACACACACACACACACACACACACACACACATATATATATATATATATATATATATATATATATATATATATATATATATATATATTTTGAACAATTAAAAATTAAAATCTTTTAGACACACTAGTTTTGACCCAAATGGCCATCATCGAGGAGAAATATTTCTGCTTGCTGTTAGCACTAAACTACAGAAATGAGTCTTTTGTTGGAGAAAATGAACTTTTGTCTGTAGTTTTCATTTGTTTTTTTATTTTTTTTTTATCTTTTTAACATGAATCCTTTAACACTCCTTCTGTTGGTCAAACAGTCTCTTTTAAGTTATTTGAGATAAGAGCTGGACAGGTACATGTTGCTCCGAATTCTCTGGTCAGTTTGACAGTTTTATTGGACCTGGTGAGGGGATGTCTCTGTTTAGTGTTTGTGTGTGTGTTATTTGGTTCTTAGGGAGTGAGTGAGTATGATATGTGTAAGCGTGTGTATTGCTGTGGGTGTGTGTTATCATTTGGCTCATTAGGGAGTGAGTGAGTATGATGTGTGTAAGTGTGTATAAGTGTGAGGCCTCAACACCTCCATAACCATGTCTGTCTTGTGTGGGTGAGAAATGTGGGTAGGTTTTGATTTGTTGACTTGTATATCAATACTATCTATATTGTTAAATTTGTGGTTTAGCCTGGCTGGAAAGCGTGTTTTTAAATGTTGTATCCACTTATTTTCATGGGACTCTAAAATCTTTCTAATGTTATCTCCTCTGGAATTTTCTATTCTCTCAATTATAGTGAATTTGGCATGGGTTTTGAAATCATGTTTTTCCAGGCGGAAATGTTGTTCTACAGGTAATAATTTTTCATGGGGAGTCGACTTAATTCGTTTACTTATAATTATTAATTCTGTAGTGAAAGGCCATTCAGATTTTCCTACATATTGTTTCTGGCATAGTGTGCATTCTAGGAGGTAAATTATGTTATGACTTCTACAGTTAGAATCGTGGTAGATTTTGAAAGTAGATTTAGTGATTGAGCTAGTGAATGAATTCGTGTTTTTAATATGGTTGCAACATAAACTTCTTTTGTTGTTACATGGTTGGAAAAAACCTGTTGTTTTTGTTCTTAGTTTATTACGGATTACCTTGTTCCTGAAATGTGGTGACTACCTATGATTTCTTTTTTTAGGTTCTTAGGTCTCACGATATGCAAGAAGGCCGGGTTCCTTAAACAGTTTTTTAGGTCTGGCTTGAGATGTAGTATTTCCCAGCGACGTTTGATTATCTGGGATAGTGGAGGCAGAGTGGGGTTGAAAGTGGTTACTAGAGGGATGCGGCTAGATTTATTTTTAATCTTGTACATTAGGGTGTCTTCTCTAGGTGTAGAAATTGCTTTATTTATTTGTTCCTTGATTAGGTGTTGTTTATAGCTACGTGTTGTGAATTGATGCTCCAGATTTTCAATGTGTTTATTTAATTCTTCATTGTTGGAATATATCCTTCTGAGTTTTTTTATATATATATATATATATATATATATATATATTATTAATGGATTTTATTTATTATGTACACTTGCACTTAGTGGAAATGGGTGAGCAGTACTAAATAAAAAAAAATTAAATAAATAAGATCTAGGTGCTATCCCTAGACATGAGCATTTGAACAAGAACAGTCTACCACTTAGATTAAATAAAGGGTTCAGTTCAGAATTCCCTGAGGGTTACCCAAATTGATATACACCTGAGGAAGGCCGAAAAGCAAAATGACCAAAACATTGTGTCCATATAATAAATTACTTTGTGAAACCAAAATTACCCAACAAACCAAAAACACACAACAGACCTGGTGGACTACTGTTAAGAGAACCTATTTTCTGAGTTTTAGATCATTTAGATAAAAAACTTCAAAAAACTCTTTGATGTGGTCAGATGACCTTACAAGTGTAGGTCTTTCATCAGGGTATTCATATTTGTTGGTTGGCATCAAAATTAAGCATGCTGGCTGACAAAGCCAGTTGTAGAAATCCACTACTCTACTGTGCCTCCATAAAAAATAAATATATATATATATATATATATATATATATATATATACTATAATATCTCCTCTTCAATTCGGCATATGAGGGTCAAACAGATCAGTTCCTAGAAACTGACATCCCGACAACAGCACATGAGATTTGATTATAGTGGTGATGGTTTCGTGCAGGACCATCTACACTTTTTGAAGGGTCGAATACAGAGACCTGGTGCACTACGTGCAGGTTTCTAATTCAGAGTTGTCCTTCTCCTAGACCAGTTGCCATCCAAGGCTATAGAACCCAGTCTGTCCTGCTATTTACCCATAGCTGGAGGGAAAAGAGGATTCACACCTTTCCCAAGGGTATTAGCATGTAAGTGAATGTAATGGATTCGGCTGGACTTCAAACTTGGCTCTCCAATTCCTCAATCCAAGCTGCTATTCATTACAAATTAAAATAATGCCATTAGAACAATAAATATATAATATATATATATATATATATATATATACACATACACACACACACACACACACACATCTCTTGTTTAATGTGCTAAAATTTTTATATATCCAGTCTAATTTTTCTTGTTTGTCAAAAACTGATTTCATTTTCTCTCAGCTTTTCTGCAGTAAGTTCTTCTCTATTTCTGTCAGAATGGCTTGAAAGCAAGAGATTCTTGTATTTTCTGATTAATGATCAAGACATTAATTATTTAATGTAACTACAAAACATTTTTAAACTTGCCTTGATGAAATGTGTCGGCAATGACTAAGAACTATTTTCCAATTGTCTTTGTTATCCAAAAATTATATATATATATATATATATATATATATATATAATATATTTTATTTATTTCTAGATTTGGGAAGCGCATCAACACGAAAAGGAAGAAATGTATTTAGCTTTTTACAAAGAAGTTGTTCAAAGAACTGCCAAACTGGTTGCTGCCTGGCAGTGTGTTGGATGGTGTCATGGGTGAGGCATTTTTTATTTATTCATTTTTACTTTCAACAATATTCAGGATATTTAAAGTTGTCAGATTTTACAAGTAATTTTCAAATCTGATTAGAAAATATTTTCTCATTCTCTGTGTCTTATTGCTCTTTTACTTCTTTTTTTTTTTTTCTCATTTCTTCAACCTTTCTTTCTCTTCTCCCTTTCTCATTTCTCTTTCTCTTCCCTTGTTTCTCTCTCTTTTTTTAATATTTTATGCATTTCAGATATTTATAAGGAAAATTAACTTTTTTTTCTTTTTTAAATATCAAAGCTGATAAAAGTTCATCTTTTTGATCTCCAAAACTATTAAAAATAATTTTGTTACATTTCCAAATATTTTAATTTTATTTATCTTTTTAAGTTCTTTCTTCTGGAGTCAGGAAACCCTTTTGCAGAATATTCCAGTGATATAAATTATCACATTACACACACACACACACACACACACACACACACACACACACAGATATATTATTAATGATATGTATGTCTTGATCTGATGAGGCTATTTAAGAATTAGTCATGTTCTTAAATAGCCTTTTCATATTGAAACTTTTATATGGATGTCACACATAGCACCTGACCTGTTTAGAAATATCTAAACTGTCAGCTGTATTCAACTGTTTTCTCAGATCAATGGTTAAAAATGGTTTTGAGCAAATGAAGTCTGTAGGTCTTAGAGAGTACCAACCTCTTTTAAACCTCATGGACTGTGCTACAAAATTACAAAGAACTGTACCAAATAACGGAAACATTTTCACTTGAGGGCTTTCAATAGCAGTAACAACTAAAATGAATAACATATATAATACAAAGAGAAAATGACATGAGACATTGGTTTCACATTACTTCAAACAAATGGTTAGAAGGGTATTACTACTGGAAAGGGCGATAACTGTTAGTGGACTTGAGAAAACTAATTTCCTGAGAAATTGTTTAATGGAAAGATTTTATAAATTTCAACTGACTGTTAAATAAATCCACCTAAGGAAATGGTTAATATTACCATTAGCATGAGAGATGAGAACAGATAATACACTTTAATCCCAACCTGATGTATAGGGAGTGAAGAAAAGTGTAACCTTGAGTATGGCTGGCTGCTTGGTAAATGAATGGTGAAAATTTCCACATAAGGAAATGGCTAATATTACCATTTGTATTTTCTACAATATTCAGAACATTATTTTGCAAGCATTTTTCTGTTTGCTTGGAAAAGAAATTCCCAATTTCTCTATTTTCTTTCTATGATTTTATTTCATATTTAGTTAGTAACTTAGTTTTTTCATGTATTTACAGTAAAATAATATTAGTAATGTCACCTCTGTGTGTGTGTGTGTATATATATATATATATAAACAAAAATTAGGATGGTAAGCATGGTTTGTCCTACCTGCAAAGCAGTTCTGTGATTTATCAATTTAAAATATTAGTGTGAGGCAAACAAACTTGTGGTTGGAGACCCGGATTGAACAGTATGTAAGACAGGGTGGAGCTCATGACATTGTTTGATTCAGTCACTTTGTAAGTCAGTGATTGGGCTTCATTTGATTAACAACACTGGTTGCACTTCTGAATATGTTGACGGAGCATTTAGGGTGCTGCACAGACCTCAGCCAGTTAAGCATTTATCGTTTTTAGAAGCTGTTTACATCAAGCTTCATCGATCAACTTTGTGCAGGTAGAAGAACTTTCTTTGTTCTCTGTCACATGGGTGGGTTGTGAGAAAATTTTTTTTTCCTGTTTTATACTCACTAGGAGCTTATTTATACAGATATATTTGTTTTTAGTAATAAATTTATTTTAGTCATGGCTCCTTATTTGCCCCCTATGTTTACCATTTTCAGTTTTGACTGTTTGATTATCGTTCTTTCAATGAATCTTTCTGAAGAAGTGTTGGATGAAAAATGTTCTTTTAGAATAATGTATTCCATCATTTTCAGAGCCACACATACATATATATATATATATATATATATATATATATATATAATGCACTAATGCTATAATAATCATTTTTTTTTTTTTTTTTACAAAAAAGAAAAAAGTAAACATATTCAGTAATAGTTGTAATAATATAATAGTTCTTACTTGGTTACTAACAAGTGAGAAATCACCAAACTCTGAGTTAACCTCTAAGTATTGTGAGGTTAATCTACTTCTGATACAGGATTTCATGCATTTGTCAAAAAATAGAACCACTGTTTTCTTTTTAAAATATCAAGGCTGAAACTGAGTATAGTAAGATCTACTTTTTAATCTTCAAAACTATTGTAAATAATTTAATTTCTTTTTTATTTTGGTGTTAAGGGGCACTGTTTTGCAGAATGTTCCAATGTGATTTTCTTTCCTTTTCATGTATGTTATAGGAATTAAATCCTATATTTATTTTTCAACAAATAAAATCCCAAAAAGCTTGTCCTACTACGTGTTACTTTTGGACCACTTAGAAAATAACAATAATAACTCCCTTCCCCACTCTAGTGAATTTCAAAAAAGATTTTCATGAGACAGTGTGAAATTATTTTCTAACCAATTCACAATAGTCTTTTTTACTGCTATGTGAAATTTGATTTTAGATCCCTGTTATGGATATAAAAATAGAAGCATACTGCTTCTCAGGGTTCAAAACAATTTCAGGATCCAGTTTTATTTACATGTGCATACTCACATACATGCACAGAAAAGATGACAGCCAACAGCTGCTAAGGCTTGGTCTACACATTCACAGAAACATTAGGCTGACCATCATAAAATAAGTCTGTCTACATATTTCACACCCATCATACGAATACTTACATATTTTATAAAACAAAGTTCACTGTAAGGAAAATTGAACATTTTATTGTTATTGTATATTCCTGAAAAGAATATATGTTATTTCAACTGACATTTTGTTTTTACTTTTCCTTCAGAAAATAACCTGTTTTATGTTTCATTTAAAAGATTTGTTGTTAAATATTTGGATTCCTGACACTCAGCAGCAAAAACGTTGGTAAAGGGTTTCCAATATGGTCATATGCTGCTGCAAGGTCAACATTGCAGCTATACAATATTCTATTGGGAATGTGGGCAATCTCCTGGAGTTTTTTTTATCTCCTTTATGGATATAAAAATAGATGCTTATTGCTTTTTAAGGTTCAAAACAATTTTGAAGACCTGTTTGATCTACATGCGTGCATACATGCACCCAATGGAAGAGATGACAGCAGCTGCTGACTAAGGCCTTGTCTATGAAGACACAAACACATTAGACTAATCATCATAAAGTAAGACTGTCCGCACATTTCACACCACCCTGCAAACACTTATTTGATAAAACAAATTTCACTGCAAAGAAAATTGAATATTTTATTGTTATTGTATATTTCTGAAAAGAATGTTATTTCAACTGACATTCTGGTTTTATTTTTCCTTCAGAAAATAACCTTTTTATGTCTCATTTAAAAGATGTGTTGTTGTTGTTTGGAACCACAACACTCAGATAGCAAAAAAACCTGGCTATTACCATTTCATTTCCAACCTCCATTTTCGATATTCCTCATTCAGTAACCTTTTCCATGTTACAACAAAATGATAAAAATCTATCAAATTAATAAATAAAAAATCCATTATTTTAGAAATTACTTTTTTTATGTTATGATACAAAACTGAGCAAATATGAAGTTTTCAGAAACTGAGAGAAGAAGAAGAATTGCACTTAAAAGCACAAATCCATTTGCTTGATTGGTGAAGCCCTTCATGGCCAAGTCAGTCTAAAGCACATCAGATTTACTGATGGTTGCTCCTGCAAAGGAGGGTGCAGGTTTGAATCCTGCTGGAGAATGCATATTTTTCTTTAATATGATTTTTTGAATATTTAGGATGGTTGAAAAAAATAAATACTGTTTAAAATAAACAGGAAGTCTACTCAAATATGGGTATCCATTAAAAAAAAATTTTTAAAGTGAGAAAAAAATGTCAGATTGATAAATAAAAAAAAATTCATTATTTTTTTTTTTTTTTTTTTTTTTTTTGAATGTACAATACTTTTTATATAATATTTTTTAATTTTCTATTATTTCCACTTGAAATTTTAGAGTCCTCAACACTGACAACATGAGCATTTTGGGCCTCACCATAGATTATGGACCTTTTGGTTTCATGGACAGATATGCTGAAGATTTCATTTGCAATGCATCAGGTCAGCATTAACTTCTATTAACTTGTCTGTGTATATTTTATAGTTTATACAAAAGTATTTGATAAAGCATGTCTTAAAGAACTGTTGGAACTGCTAGGAAACCTTGACTTATTTGGGAAGGATACCAGAAGAATCCAGAATTCATACTGGCAGCCAATGACCTCCATACAGATAGAAAATGAATTCAGTATATATACAAAAATAGAAAGGGGTGTAAGACAAGGATGTCTTATTCGAACTATAGTGAGACAATTCTGAGAGAATTAGAAGTACTATCAAGATACATTATTGGTGGCCACAATCTTAACAACATAAGATATACAGATAACAGAATTGATAGCAATTACAAGAGAAAGGAAACTACAAGAACTCTGACAGAATCTAGTGTAGGAAAGTGAGAAGAAAGGACTAAGCATCAATTGCAAGAAGATAGAATGCATGGTTGTTAGCAAAAGGGACAGCTCAACATGATACCAAAATCAAACAAATACAACAACTTAAATATCTGGGAAATGTTTTTAACAGGGGATGGTAAGTGTGACACTGAAATCTGAAGGTGCATTTGGATAGCAAAAGATGCCTTCCAAAAGCTAAGCAAAGTATTCAGAAACAAGAAAATTTCATTAAACGCAAAAAAGAATACTGAACTGTTATGTAATAGCAGTCCTCCTCTATGGCATTAAATACTGGACAATCTACACACAGATGAAGAAGAGACTTGAGACAACAGAAATGTGGTTCTACAGAAGGATACTGAGAATACCATGGTCCAGACATCTGAGCAATGACAGTTTTAGAGGGAATGGAAACAAAAAAGAAACTTATACTTAACATTAGAGACAGTTAAAGTTTCTAGGGCACACTAGGAAAGAGGGCTTGGAAAATCTGATACTCATAAGACATATTGAAGGCAAAAGAGACAGGGGGAAACAACACAGCATATTTAGCAAGCTTTAGTAAATGGATGGCAGAACAAGGTTTAGGAGAAATAACAAGACAAAATTTATTAAGAACTATAAAAGACAGAAAATGGTGGAGAGCCATGATCATCTACATCTTGAAGGGATATGGCACATAAAGAAGTAATGCTTGCTTATGACCTATATATATTGCCCATGGATGTCTCTTCTGGTTTCTTGTTTCCTTACAAATATTTGAATGTAACTTCAACTGTAATTCTCTATCTTTCTGAATCCTCATTTATTTTTTTATTGTTCTTTCTTATTAAACTCTTTTCATTCTCTTTCACCCTTTGCATCTTAGTGGCTTTATAACCTTGCTTGGGGTGAAATGATTAAAAGAAATATATAAATATAGAAGTGGAAATTGCAGTCAACAACCAGCAGCAAATGTTTCATGCTTAAACGCAATCGTTAAGCCTGACAATAGCATCTATAAATGAAATTGACTATTGTTGCTGTGTGTTAATGAAGGTCCGCTTTTATATTTACATACACTCTATCCCTGATGTTGAGGACTTTAACCATAAATATAGCATACCTTAAAGCTATATTTTTATGATACATATAATGACCTTCCTGATGTCATCACTTCCCAAGTAGGTATCTATGCAAATGATACTACTATTTACTCTTGTCTCAATAGTAAATCTGGCATTGCTGACAAAACTAACTTGCCTGTTGATCTCAAAAAGGACTGCCAATCTGTGGTTGACTTGGCCAGAAAATGGCTTGTAACTTTAATGCCTCCAAAACGAAACTGCTCTCATTTACCCACCATGGAGAATCCTCCCTGCCTCCTATCTGGTGTCCATGAGAGTGTCTCTCTCTACACCTGCTTGGTCTCATGCTTTTCACTGACCTGAGGTGGAAAAACTACATTGAATCAATAGCTTCATCTACTGCAAGGAAAGTTGGAGACATGGGAAATTTTTAATTGTTACATCATCTGCAGTAAATTTATGTCCAGCTTTTTACATCTCATCTTGGCAGATCTTCTATTATCACAATGTGGTAGATTTGATAACAAAACTGATGGAAACAGGAACAAAAAGGAAAAGAAACTAAATTAAATCCGCTAGACTATATATTCAAAATGGCTTCATCTGCTGCAAGGAAAGTTGGTTCTCTGTGTCACACCAGAAGCTTTTTCTTGCCCGAGTTCATCCTTCAAATCTACAAATCAACTATTCGTCCTTGCATGGAATACTACTGCCATATATCGTCTGGTGCCCCTGTTGTTCAACTCGAGGTCCTTGACAAAATCTAGAGACAGATATGCAATGTGATAGGTCCTTATCTGGCAGCTCATCTGCAGTCACTTTCTCACAGACATGCTGTGGCTTCCATTTGCCTTTTCTACAAATATTTTCGTGGCAACCGCTCTGATGAGCTAATTTCACTGGTTCCCAAACTGCATGAATTCAAGTGTGCTAAGTTGGCATCCTGGTCCCATCCTTTCACTGTTGAAATGGTTAAATATAGCCATCTCTTCTACTACAACAGCTTCTTATCTTGCACTTCCTGACAGTGGAACTCCCTTCCTCTTACTTGCTTCCCTGATAGCTATAATCTTTAAATATTCAAATGTAATGAACATCTTCTGATACCTTGACCTTGATCTCCGTCCTTCTCTTTATCCTTTCTGCAAACACCCCTCTTTACTGATGCTATCCTTCCCTGCATGCTAGTGGCACTCCCACATTGCTTGGGGTGATATGCTTAAAAAAAAAAAAAAAATTAAGGTCTCAGCTTAAACTGATGTCAAGAAGATATGGTTAAAATCCCTCAAAACCCAACTTTGCTAATCATTAATCTTGAGGAATTAAACAAATCTCATTATTGACAAATACTTTCTGAATTTTTTTTGTTTTTAACTTTAAGAGGCTTCCAGATACATCATATTGAAACACTAATTCCTGTACAATAACTGAATTTAAGCAATGTCAAGCTTGATCAGTATCTAGATGGGTGACCACTTGGAAATATCAGGTTCTGTAAGCTTGGATGTGTGGGTGGTGTAATGGATAATGGCTCTGAATTGTTAATTACAGAGCTGAGTTCCAATTCCTGTTGAGTTTGTTATATTCACTTATACACAAATACCTTTGGGAAAAGCTTTAATCCACCTCTTCTCCCCACCAGCTATGGGTTAATTAGTAAAACTTGTATCACTAAATCATTATTATCTAAAAAAAAAGATATTCTTGGGATCTAAAAATATTTTCTGACTTTAAATAACCTGCAACACTGATTAGCTACACAGGAATATCTTTTAGGTGTATTTATATTCTCTGGAATATAAATGTATAGAAACTAATGTGGCCACAATGTGAGGGATCTGTTTCTATTTTGATCGTAATATAGAATTGATCCCCCACTTTATATTCACATTATAATATGTTGTTTATCAAATTCTGATTAGGTATGAATTCATCACTTCTCCAACTATGTGTTAATTCATAAGGTTTGTATCACTAGATCATTATCTTCCCTCCCTCAAATTCTTACAATCTAAAAATATTTTCTGGTTTTAAATAACCTGCAAAGGGTCGATAAACCATAGAAAATGAATCAATCTTTTTCTTTTTTTTTTTTTTTTTTTTTTTTTTTTTTACTTTAAGATGATGGTGGAAGATATGCATACAACAAACAACCTGAAATCTGCAAATGGAATTGTCAAAAACTTGCAGAAGATATTCAGGATGCATTGCCACTTGAGAAAAGCCTGTCTGAACTCGAGGCAATATTTGACAGAACCTATGAAGAGGAATACTTCAGTAGGATGAAGAAAAAGGTGAATTTTTATTAAGATTTTACTTTCTTAAAAAAACGCTTTAAAAAAATTAAAAACACTAAAAAAAAAAAAAATATTTTCTATGATTCAGTTTGTTATATTTTTCATGAAAAAAAATATAAGTGAAATAATGATTTGTGACATACACTAATAATGTCTAACTTGGATTGTGATAATTTTGTATGATATCATCTCAACAAAATATCTCAACTCCTCAAAGATAACAATTACCTTTACTATGAATAACTGTATTGTATTTTTTTTAATGACATTTCTCTTCAACACAGATATGGCTCTCCACAGATATTTTTTTTATTTTAATATCTGTGAAGTGCCATAAATTCTTGAAAAAATTACTGGAGTAGTTTAATTGTTAACTTCTGTATAGTTTTGACATTTCCATTCAAAAAATTAAGAAAAGTAACAGAATTATCAATAAAAGTGAATAAGTATATTATAAGTAATCTATATAATAAATTTCAGTGTGTCACACCTTTTTGAATTAAAGGGACAGAACTCTCAATAATTCTTTAAACTTTTAAAAGGTAAGCTTGAATACTAATAGAATACTTAAATGTAGCAATCAATTTTGAATTTTTCTGTAGTTTATTGTTGCTTATTGCATCTACTACTTCTTACCTATTATGATGAAGGCTCAATCAAGAGCCTTCTGCAGGAGCTACCTTAAATGCTGCCTCATAGGGTGGCTTTTAAGCTAGTTATTAATAAAAGTGAGGCAAAAAAATTTTAAAAGTAAACCTCTTCTGCTATCTCTATTTAAAAACAACAACAAAACAAAAAACACAACAAAGAGTGATAATAGTTGAATTTAAGTAATATTGGTAGTTTTAGTGAATAAAAAATCTTTTTGCTTACAAAATCTACCCCCTGATGATTGTACAATCTGTAACATTGACCAACTCTGCAAGTCGACTTGAAACTTTTAGTTGCAGTTAACAGTAAATATAAGTACAAATTTTCTTTATATATTTTATACTTGTGCTGTATTTTGTATATATTTTATTTATTTTTTATATCATAAAGAAACAATTTATACAAAGAATTAAATAGAATGTTAATGTGATTGATGGCGAAATCACTTTGCTAACACAACTTAATGAGACATTAACTTACTATCAATTCTTTGAATAACAAGATCCTATTATTTGAGTTGTCAGATGGAAGACTCATGCCAAGGACTTTCAACAATTTCAAATTGTCATCTTCAGGGTGCAATTTTCCCCATACACATGTAAACACCAAGATAAAATATGTGTAGACCAAAAGATTTGGTTTTTTTATTATGATTTGAACAAGAACTTTAGTGTTGTGGCATCACAACTCCCCAAAACATATATTCAGCTGTCTACATTGAGCACTTTGTTTGTATTATCTACAAACTTTGCCTTTTTATGTGAATGATAAATGCAAATGTCAGTGTGTCACTTTGTCACACTTTCCCAACTTTACTCCTAGAGGCTGTAGCTCGACATATCATGCTATTTTGGAATCAGGCTGACTCAGTGAACAAATTAAAAGTATTCCAGGCTGGATCTGGACCTTTTCATTACTGTCATTGTTTTCAGTGATTTTCTTTTTTAAGAATTTTTATAACTTAGAAATAAATTGGGGATAATTGAAATTAATTGCAAAATCCAGTGAAAGTTACCCATGAAAGAAGGACCTACATACATCGAGTTATCTTTAAATTAAGTGGTGGCAAAAGAATTATTGAACTTTTAAAAGGTAAGCTTAAACATTAATGCAGTATTTAAAGGCAGCAATCAATTTTGTGTTCTTATGTAGTTGCTTATCACATCTACTACTTCTCCCTATTGTGATGTAGGACCAATCAGGAGGTAGCTTAAATGCTGCCAGAGAGAGAGAGAGTATATATATATATATATATATATATATAGGCACACAGAAATGATAAAATATAAACTTGAGGGTTCATTGCCAAAGTTGGTAAGGCTTAAATATATTCTCATTATCATATATATATACAATAATATAAAAATCTGCTACTCAGAGTTTCATGCTGTCTGAAGCTTTGGGTAATGGATTTTGATATTATTGTAGTTATAGAGGAAAACAACACATGACATTCTTAGTGAGCTTGAGTAAATGGAGGATGGAATAGTTTAGAAAAAATAACAGGACAAAATTTATTAAGAGCTACAAGTTACAGAAAGTTGTGTAGAGCCATGATCACCTATGTCCTGTGGAGACACAGCATATATAGAAGAATATTATAATAATATTTGTCACAAATTTTTCGAAAAAGAGGAATTAAAAACATACTAAAGTTGAGAAGTGAAAGGGGGGTGAATAAAAACGATCTTGTAACATCCCTAAGAGGGACATGGCACAGCCCTGGTGGTATGTCTTATGTTCCTATTAAGGATGCATAAAAACTGTGTCATGGCTGTCAGAATATGTGTCTTTGCAGTCTAAGCAGCAACTGAACTATTCTCACTAATAGGATGTCACATGTTCATCAAGAGCTCCTTAGGATGTGATTAAGTTGTCCTGTCAAAAGGAAGATAATTGCCTTCTACAGAAGACATTTTTTTTTTTTTTAGATTGAGTAATAATTTATGTACATTGTCTTTAGACTTCATGTTTGTTTTTACTTTTTTTTTTTATCCATGTTAGTGTATACATTGAAAGTGATTCCATTCTACAGAAAATCATTTTTGAAATAAATTTTTTTTTTTTTTGTAAATTTGAATTCATTCTATTTGGTACATTTTACTTGAGATACCAGTTACAAATAAGTTTTTAAATTTTTATTTTAACCATTAAAAAATTATTTCATCAAAAAAGTTAGAGAACTAATTTTTTTTTCTAATATGTACAATCAGAAACTGCTTTTAATTTTTTTTTAAATTATTTTAATAAGAAAGAAACTTTTGTGTTTTTTTTTTATTTTTTAGCTTGGCTTTTTGAAGCATAATGATAAACAAAGGTAAGAATTTTAAGTATTAAATGTTAATTCATTTTCTTTCTTTATATTAACAATTGCTTTTTAATTAAAAGCCTAACAGAAAAATGTGTGCAATTATAACAGCATTTGATAGAATATTGCAGCATTTCAAAATAATTGAATTAAGCACATAAATGAATTTTGACACTACTTAAATAGACCATAACACTTGTGAAAATCAAAAAAAATATTGATTGTAAAAGAAGCCCTACTTCATAATAGTGATACAGTATAAAATAGGTACCTCTCCATTTTTTTTTTTTTTTGCTGAAAAAGAAAAAACTGCATAGCATGATAAAAAAAAGGCCCCAAACTTAATAAAAACAAAGTTTTATTGTCAAAATGTTTGTTATTATTAATAGGAAAGACCAAAGTATATTTTTATTATTTTATTAAATCTTTTAATCCTTTCTAACATGTTCGAAATTTTAGTTAAAAATCTTATTTTTTGTGGAGGGGGGGTCGTAAATGGTTCATGTAATATTTACGATTAGATTTTTTGCACTTTTTTTTCTGGTGAATAATTCATTGATTTGGAAATTCTTGCAAATGAATGAAATTATTTGTGAATTTTTTTTTTTTAGAAAATCTTAGTAAAAATTTTTTTTTTTTTTTTTTTTTTTTTACATCTGTTACCCACCTAGAAATTAAATTTCAATCTCAATTTTTTTTATTAGTTAAAAATAGAACGTCTTGGAGAATGCAAATCATCTCTTTTTGTTTTTTTTTTTGTTTTTTTTTTCAAACTACTACTCATTTTCCAAAAATCTGCTCCAAATCATAAAATCAAAAATGCAATAAAACTATGAAACTATTTAATTATAGAAAGCTTTTAATTTCTTTTATAAATAAGATTTACTAAGAACACTATTGTCTTAAGAAAAAAAAATTTTTGATGAATAATGAATTTTTACAAGAATTGTTTTCATTTTTTTTAAATTTTAATTATAATAATTTATAATATATATCTTAAAATTCTACATTAATTCAATCCAATTAGATGATATTGTTATTAAGTGAAAACTATATTACGAATCAAAAATTGACAAGCTTGGTATGTCATTTTGCACCAGGATTTTTCAGAAACTTTTGGAATTTTTTTTTTTTTTTTTTAGTGTATGAACATTCCCATTTTTGCAAATATGTTAGTCCGTACATGACATTACTCTTAAAAGGTAATGTATTTTAAGTCTTTTCATTGTTACACATAGTAGCAATCTTATTTTGTATATATTGTTTTGGGTACTGAATACAATATATGCAAATTAATCAGATTAATTTAACTTGAAATTTGCTACTTTTCCTCAAATAATGAGTTACAGATAAATATTTTATTTTTGGAACATTTTTAAAACCGAGAATTAAATTTTGTTTACAAATGTGTCACTATGGCCAAATTTAAATGCTTTTTTTGAAAAGCAACCAAAAAGTTGAAATTCTAATGAGCATAATTTCTGTTTGAAGTACACCAGAGTATTTTGCTTACTGGAAATAGTAAATTTAATCATTTAGCTTTCAATTAAAGCTAAAAGAAAGCTTCAAGAAAGCTTTTTTCATTTATAAAAATCCCTTTTAAATCAAGGTATTGAAACTGAGTGGAGGTACCTAGTGCAAAACTGATCCTTTAACAGGTTAATCTCTGATAACACTTTTACAAATGTCATGTTTGAAACTGGGTTTGTCATATACAAGAGTAATCGGCCTAGATATCTCAAAAGCCGTTGAGATGGTGTGGCACAAAGGATTGCTACACAAACTGTCAAGCTATAGAATCACTGTGAGAATCCTCTCATTTATCAAGTCTTTCATGTCAAACAGGTCTATAAAGGTTGTTGTTAATGGCCATATAACTGGAGAGAGTTATGGATGAAAGATTCATTCTCCCATTTGTATTTCCCCGATTATGGGTATTAATATATCCATGATATAACAACACTGATATATCACAGATGGAACAGAATGGCTGAAAGAAAAAAAGGAATCACAAACATGGTTTGTTCTCGGATAGACTTTTATAACTCTAAGACATACACAAAACTACATATACATATATACACAACACATATCCCACATGGAGAATAAAATATCCTATATACACAGCAAAGCAGAGTGTATGGAGAAAAAAAAAAAACGGAAGTTCTTACATATAAGCCATTTCTAAATCTCCAGATTCAAATGGGCTGGATTCATCTATGTTCCAGGCAAGAACATATTCCATGAATAGGAAATGGTGAGTTTTGTATTTCCACAATTGAGAACTGTGAGTTGGAGTTTCTTTCTATATCTGGGAAAGATATATTCCCAAATAGAAATGGCGCTATGGACTTGTAAGCTGTGGGGGAGTCAGATTTAGCCTTTGTTTAGGCTGGGGGTGGGGGCTCAAGCTAAAGAAAGCAACCTTATAGTTTAGCTTCAGTAAACAAACTGAATTAGGTTGCTGATTTTGTCACTGTATGGAGTGATGTCACTAAGTGTCCATGTGACACGTGACTTTTCTCTACCAAAGGGAGCTAATTGCCTTTTGTATCCCAACAGACACTCTTCTGAGGTACATGAGATGAATGCTAGCATCACCCAAGGCTCTCTCCATGGTCTTACACACTTTCTGTTTCATATCAATGGTCTGCCCCAAAACACTCTCAGATCCTTTGTAAAGATGTATGCAAACCAATCATTCCTAACAAATCATGTAATGAAGGTCGTCTTGAATGTACACGCTTCTAGTTCATTTCACATTAATGTGGGTGTGGTCAGGGCTCTATTCTTGAACCTGCATTGTTTCTTATCTTCATCAATGAGCTTCCTGATGTTATCAGTTCCCAAGTATGTATTTATGCTGATAACACAAGTATTTACTTATGTCATAGCAGGTTTAACATTGTCTGACATTGCTCTCATAAAGGAACTCCAATCAATGCTTAACTGGGACAAAGAATGGCTTGTAAATTTTAATGCCTCCAAAACAAAACTGCTTTCATTTAATCACCACAGAAAACCTTTTCTGCCTGCCATCAAATTCCTTGCACCTTCTTGGGCTCATGTTTCTTACTGATATGAAGTGGAAAGATTATATTGAATCAATTGTTAGATCTACTGCTAGGAAAATTGATTCACAGTGTCATTTGAGACAATTTTTCTCATCAGAATCTATCTTGCACATTTATAAATCTACCATTCATCTATGCATTAAATACTGCTGCCATATCTGGTCTGGTGCGCCTACTAAATATCTTGAGATTCTTGACAAAATCCAAAAAGGATCTAATATAATCAATCCTGACTTGGCATATCAACTTCAGTCATTTTCTCATCGCAACAACATGGCTTCCCTGTGTCTTTTCTACAAATATTTTCATGGTAATTTTTCTGATGAGCTTTTCTCCCTGGTTCCTCATCTGCAGGAATTTGTGTGCTACTTCATTAACAAGTAGATTTCACCATTTTAATGTTGAACTAGCTAGATGCAACTGCATTTTTCTAATCTAAAAGTTTTTCTCACACTTCTTGCCTATGAATCTATCTCCCAGTTTCTTACATCACTGACATCTACAATCTTTAAAGACATAACTGCAATGTCCTCTTCTGTCTTCCTGGAACCTCTTTTTTTATTGTCCTCTTTCCCCACTAAAGTCTTCTCATTCTATTTCACTTCCAAGTACCCCCCTTGCATCGTAATGGCATTATCACCTTACTTTGGGGTTAATGGATTTAAAAAAAAAAAAAAAAAAGATACCATGGTATGTGGGTACCTTCAAATATCTTGATAAGTATTTAGCAGCTGATCTCTCTTGTGACCTAACTCTCTCAGCTCAATGAACAAAATACCTGCTGGTAATCATTCAATATTTTCAAAACTAAACTAGTAACATTTCATCAGTATGGAAGAAACCTTAAACCTGCATCAATCCTGATGAATGGTCATATGCTCATAGAGGCTTCTTGCCACAAACATCTACTAGGGCTAAATTTCAGACCCAATCTCAAGTGGAATACATATATTTGTCCCATCACCAAAGATGCTGGAAGAATGTTCATTTCATTGTACCAAATTCCTGCTGCCACGCTTTCCATTTACAAAAGAATGGAGTATTACTGCCCTGTCCTCACTGTCCATCCTTGGCAAAGCTCAAGAGTTCTTCTGTGACCGTGTGGGTGATGAATTATTCTCCACCCTGCAACTCTTATCTTATAAATTGTTGCTAGCCTCTCTCTACTCTGTTGCAATTACTATGACGGATATTAGGAAGAGTTACATTCCTTAGTTCTACCAGTTCAGAACTTCACAGCTGGGACACATGATGTCATGTTTAGGGTGGAAAACCATCCCCATTCTCTTTGTGTTCTTTTCATAAAAAGCAAGCTCCACTCGGGTTCTTCTCCAGAACTATTACTTTGTGGAACTTCCAAGGGAATACTTTCCTGAGAACTACAAGCTTTGTATCTTTAAGTCTAGTGTCAACTGATATCTATCCTACTCGTTTTCACCATACTCTTTTACTTCTCTCCTCCTTATAACAATCTCACTCAGTAACACTCTACCTTAAGTGGCTCTTGCATTGGATGAACTAACGGTAAAAAAATAAATCAACAGGACATTTCCTTTTCTAAAATGATGACGAAACAAGATTTTTTATTTTGAGGTGTTGTGGTCTAAGGTAGGTTTCAACAATGCTACCATCCATCCTGAGTATGACGATAAACTACATCCAATAGCAAAGATCTTTAATTGGGAGGTTTTGAGGTGCATGGAACCACCTTTTCATTGCTGATGTTCCCAGTTCCACTCTGATTAGTACTATAGTACCTTTTAGGGTCTCGGCTATAGGTAAATAGTGAACCCCAAACTGGGGTCAAAACCCCATGCAAGTATAAAAATAGATTTTTATAGTAAAAATTACTAGCAATACATTTTTGAAAAAAAAAAAAATTACCAGTAATAGATTTGACTCTCAACAAAAACTCTCTTTATGAAAATACATTGATGAAACCCAATCTACAATCTGATTTCTTACAATTACTACTATATGGATCTATCCTAAAAATCTTGTCTGAATTAAATAACCCATTGTGGTTGATATGCTATAAAACAAAATAAAGTAACCAATCAATAATACTAATCTAAATAAATTATTTCAAAAAATGTTATTTTGTGGGCAATACAAAGTATTCCCTATATTAATGTTTGAAGTAACAAAAATATCAGATTAAAAATAAATCCATTAGTTCTTTTGAAATTGCTTTGTTTACATTTTGGATATGAAATTGATTAGATATGGGCCTTTAAGAAAAATATCTGGGTGAAGAGGATGTGCTTTCTTTAAAAATGGAAAATAGAGCCTTGCTTAAATGTGACATTCTTTGTGTAAAGCACACCAGATCAAATAGTGGTTTCCCCTACAAAAGAAGATGCAAGTTCAATTCCTGCCAGAGAACACATTTACCTTAGGATTTCTTGAATGTTCAGGCTAATAAATATAGCACACATGGTTTAATAAATAAAAATGGCACATCTATTTTAAACGCGATGTGTCCACTATAACAATATAATATATCTACTCCAGTTGAAAGATTTGAAGCCACCCCCAGAATTAACCTGGGATGAACTTGACAGAAGAGGAAAAAAAAAACTGAAAAAGAGTTCTTAGTCATTGAAAAAAAAGAATGGGATCAATTATCAAACTTTGAAAAACTTTTGCAATGAATGCCAAAAATTTATGCTGCAGTAATCAAGACTAAAGGAGGATATTTTGAGGAGAGCAAAATTTAATCATATTTTTGTTTCTTTTTGTCATAATAAAATTTCTAATGAAAACCATAACTCAGTTTGTTTTTTGTTTTGGGGGTGACACTGAAAAACATTACATAGTTGCGGCACCTCATTATAAAAAAGATGACTACTATATCTGAATGCATACATACATGCATATATCTACATTCTCCCAGAATCTCTCTCTCTCTCTCGTACACCATGATGAACATTTATATTTGAACTCTTGAACCTTCAACTTTCACTTTATCTGTGTTTGTGTTATTTCTAAAGAAAAAGCACATTGTCAAAGAACACTCCTACAAAGTTAACTTTATTAAGTTTTCTCAAATGTGCAGGTTGGTAGACAAAATAGTGTTTTCAAATAAATGGAGTGTCCACTCCAATACGGGTATACACTAAAAATACAGTATGCGATGGATAAATTGTCGTCTGAATTACACAAAAATAAAAATAACACTGACATTTCCTTTTAAGAGATATATTTACCAAAATTACACAAAAATATCTTGAAGTACTAAAGAGTAAATTTATTCAATAAAATTGCCATTGGCTTCAACCCTGACCTCCAGATGACTTCGGAATCTCCTGCATCTCTTCTTCTGAACAGTCTCCTTGTTTAAGTTGGTGAATGCAGCCATAATCATTACTTCCAGTTCATTCATTGTGTTACATGAAGTTTTGTTGGTTTCTCACTCAACTGTGCCCCCCACACATCATAATAATAATAAAGGGGTTTACAGTCTGAAGAGTTAGATGGCCAGATGTGAGGGGTAATGTGGTCGCAAAAATTGTCTTACAGCCATGACTGGGTTCTCCTGCTTAAGTGGCATGGTGCAGTGTCCTGTTGTCAGACATGGGGTCTTTCAGCAGCCACCTTCTTTACAGCACTATCTCCTCAAGCCACTTTATGAAGTCCTCTGTGTTGAGTCTGAGGCCCTGTTTGGGAAGATGAATGGAGGCATAACATTGCCATCACTAGTGATCACTACAAACACCATGATGTTGACTGGATATTTAGTTTTCATCATTCTCAGTACATCTTTTGGGGACACAGCAAACTGATGGTTGTTCTGTGTGTTCACCATCTTATCCAGGAAGAAATTTTTCTTGTTTGAGAAAAACCAAGGCATGTTCAGTTGGAGGGAGATTCTTGAGTTTGTTCAAAAGCTTTGTAGCAAAAGTCTTTCCTCTTGTCCTTCATGGCTTAGGTTAAGAATGGCTCTTTCACATCTTGTATGAAAACTGCTGAATGTCTTCATGTACTACTTGCCTGATAAGAAATTCAGACACTCCTGTGTCACTGGCTGGGGACCTGATTGACTTGGAGGGTTCATTGTTAATCATAACATGGATATCGCCAACAAATTTGGTAGTTTTTTTTCTTATCAGAGTGAGTTTTTCAAGTTGCCTTACCTTAGTAATCACCATTAGACTCCTCCAGCTCTTTCTGAATCCTCTGCACTATTCTCTGATTGACACCCAAACACTCTGAAATATTCATATTGGAGTTTCTGGTGTGAATGCCAAGCAGTACAACATGCCGTTTCCAAATTTCTGGTGGAGTGAATTGAATCGTGGTGCTCTTTTTCTCACAGACTGTGCTCAACTGACCCTACTATAGTGTGCATTCGGCAAAATCAAGAACAAACAACACGTGCACAAAATGAAAAATGGCAACAATTTACACATTGCACCTTGTGTGTGTGTGTGTGTGTGTGTGTGTATATATATAAACACTGGATGTCAGAGTAAAAAAGTTTTGCTGACAAAATCTCAGATTAACAAAAGTTATTTCCCTTGAAATAGCAACTCTAGACTTTTCTTTGCACAAAATAATTTACATTTGTGTATATAGTAATATAATATAAACTCATTTTAAAATAGTTTATGTTGTTTACTATACAGTGATGTATATTTCATAATTTTAGTTATTTTTTTTCTTAATACCATGTCCTTTCAGGGCATAGGCAATCACGGCTCTACACAGATTCTTTTTTTAACATATGTGAATTGCTGTGACTTCCTTTAGAAAAGATTGTGGAGTGGTTCCACATTGCTTTCTCCATGGTTTTGAATTCACAGTTTAACTTCTCCTAGACTGGCTGCTACTCAAGGCTATAGAACTCTGTCTATCCTGCTATTTAACCCACAACTAGTGGTGTTGGGGAGATCCATGCTTCATATGATTGCAAGAGCCTGAAACCCAGAGTCACAAACTCATATCTATACAACTTATTATGTTGGTTCTATCAGTGATATTGAGTGCTTTCTGCTAAGTACCGTGCATATATAAAATATGTCATGCTTTTGGAATGTGGCAGTAGTCAAGCAAAGTGAGAATCATGCCTTTAAACACAGATTTTTCTTTGACTCTTGAAATAGACATATCTGCTCAGTTTCATATCCTAATGTAAACAAAGCAAATTCTAAAGAAAGGGATAGATATTTTATTTATTAATCTGACAGTTTTTATTACTTAAAGATTATTTTTACTGGATACTCATATTTGAGTAGATATGCAATTTATCTATTAAACTGTATTTTAATTTATTTTTGTCTTTCTACCAGCTTAAATAATTGAGAGACCTTATTAGAGAAAAATATGTGCACTTCAAGGATATGAAACTGAGCAGATATGCGCATTTTAAGTGTCAGAGAAAAATCAGTTTAAAGGCACTACTTTTATCTACATATGTTGTAACCTAGGGAAGGTTACTAAATAGAATAATCACACAAAGGTTGGTAATGAATGATAATACTTAGGACATGAACAACACATAAGATTCACCAGCAGTGAGTAGAACTAGTAGTCAACTGCTAGAAGTGAGTCAAGTGAATTCCACAATGAATCTCAAAACTGCAGACCAACATACAGTATTTACTACAGTATTTATGTGAATGGGGACATAACTATTATCGTCTGTAGGTATGCTACAACAATACACACACACACACACACACATATATATATATATATAGACAGCAACCTTTCTTTTAAACATTTTTCATTAAATATGATGTCGAAGGAAAATTTTATTAATTTTTTTTATGTAGTTTTTCCAGCGTTCTTACATTTTTCCATTTGGTGGGTGTGAGGAAGTACAAAAACTGTCCATTGTCCCAAATGCTTTCAGCCACTTCCCCTTGAAAATGGCTAAGGATGTGGATGTAAGTTCTTGGGATGATACCAACAGTCATTGTACTCCCTCATTCCCACCAAACAGAAAAATGTAAGAACACTGGAATAACTAACTAACTAACTTTTCCACTATATTTATTGAAAGATATATATAAGCCTTATTAGAAAATAGAGAATTTTTTTTTATTCTATTTTATAAAAGCTGTCAAAATCCCAAATTAGTCTCAGAAACTCATAACTATCTGTTGCTGCTGATTTTGAAAATTGGTGCTTCCAGATGTAAGAAGTTCAGGCCACTCATTGCTTAATAAGATCAAATGTCATTTTATAATGGTATTTTTTTTTTTTTTTTTTTTCTTTAGGTCATGTTTTTTTACTCAAATAAATCAAAGATATTTTATTTTAAATTTTTATTTCAGAGATATAATCAATTCCTTAATGAAAGTTATGAATGAAACAGGAGCAGATTTTACCAACTCTTTTCGTTGTCTAAGCAAGTTGTCTTTTGGCAGTTGCCCTGGTCAAAGCCAGGAAGAGATTCTGGATTATCTGTTATCAAATTGTTGCTCGGTTGAGTTACTCAAAGCAGATACAAAACCTCGCATCCATCAGAGGTAAGTACAAATTCTCTATGAAACTTCTAAAATCAAAACAAAGAAAATTATTGCCTTTATACTATGGCAGAGAGTATACATGGGATGGGTTACAGCAGATTAAACAGTGAGAGCTGATATTTACATTTTTGTAAATATTGGCTCTCAAGGTCTCACTGTTTGTGGTTAAAATCTCACTGCATGACTTCCCAAGTTATTTTTGTGATGATGTCATTATATATTATGGCAAAGTATATATGGGGTGGGTTGCAGCAGGTTGAACATTGAGAGCCATTATTTATGGGATGGGTTTGGGTTGCTGGAATGCTAAAGGATTAAATCATCTTAGGTACTACGCTTTTTTTTTTTTTTTTTTTTTTTTTTTTGACAATATTTTCATTATTAATTCAATAATTCTTGATTTCAATATCTGTCTATATTTCTGAGATGAGTTATTGTAACTACTTATGCTATTTATACTGTTTGGAATATTGTCCTCATCTTTATTGTCATATTGAGTGACATATGTTGGAATTTTGAGTTGAACCCTTTATTTCATCCACTGAGCCATATTATTCTAGTTCCACATGCCATGCCTTTTCTGGATATCTCAGTTTCACCTGAAGACAGCTAGAGTGTACAATCAATTGCTGAAATGTTGTGAATATGCCAATAAAGATGAGGCCAATATGTCAAAAATGTAAACAGTATAAATATTCATGATTTTGTTAGTTTTAATATTCTGTTTTCTTTCTTTTCTGTATTTGTCAGAGAAATACAAATGGTGATTACCATTGCTCAAACACATCCTGAACTTCTTGAGCAGTTGGGACCTGGTGTCATGAAAGTTTTTAATGAATTGAAAAGATTGGATAAAGCAAGACAATTAGCTGTAAGTGATTCAATGAATTTTGCACAAATCCATTCATTTCATAAAAGATGTCTTCAACTAACCAGAATTTCTTGATAATTGCAGTCTTTCTCTTTTCATATCTTCAGACAACTCTCTCCTAGAAGTGCACTTGGAGTATTTATTTATTTTTTTTTTTTTTTGGAGCAATGTAATAAATATATATATATATATATATATATATATATATATATATTTGAGTTTGAAAAAATAACATTTTGGTTTGGTTTGTTTTGTTTTACAGCATATCAACCTGAATGGGTTATTTAATGCTGACAAGATTTTTATTGTTTGTAATTTTTCCTCAAAATATTTATTGCTGGTATTAAAACCTATTTTTATACTTTCATAGTGTTTTGACTCCAGTTTGGGGTTTAACTATTTGCCCATTGTTGAGACCCTAACAGGTGTTACCACACCGTGTCAGGGTGGACCTGGGAACACCAGCAATTAATAGGTAGTTCCATGCTCCTCAAAACCTCCTGATCAGAGGCCTTGCTGTTGGACATAGTTTGTTGTCTTACCCAGGACGGATAACATCTTATCTCCTCAAAATTGCATAACCACTAAATATGTTTATGGCAATAAGATTTAAAAGATCCATTAATTGCTTAACCCTTTGCCTCTCCTGCACATCATAGGATATGTGATTTCTATGTCCGTACATTATATGTGGCACACAAGAGCCATGATTTTACAACGGTAGTAAAACTAAGTCTACTATTGAGCAGGATGTCTGAGGAAAGGCCTAATTTAATATTTTGGGTATCATATATGACCTCAGGATGCTTGCCTGTTTTCAGATTTGTAACTATTGCAAGGCTACTCAGCGTAATATATCAGCACATTTAAAAACCCAGGCATTACATGTGATGCAGACAGTGTAGTGTAAATAACTTATGATTTGTTATTTTTTTGGTTATGTGAAACACTATATATCATCATATTCTGTTTACTAAGTAAGCTGTGTTGCCTTGCAATAGTTATAAATCTGAAAATAAGCATGTATGTTTGGATAGTACATGTGAAAATTCCCTGAGCAGGCAAAGTGTTAAAGAAAGTTTGCAGCATGTTACTCCTCTCAATGATAGCCTGACCTGCCAATGTGGCTTTGTCACATGAAGTAAAACAGGCCACCTTGTTATCTACTTGCAGAAACATGTTGCAATTGGTCTTCAACCACTTGAGCAAAATGGAATGATTCAGCATCTCCTTTCCTTCCTTTTGAGAAAACAAAGCTTCAGGATGAAGGAGTTGGCGCCTGTACTGCTTCACCTCTATACAAAGGTTTGAGCAAAGCTGACATTGGGATCAACTGTGTGCAAATATTAACCATTTGCCTGTCCTGTGCATCATATATGATGCGTAGGACATGTGATTTCCACGTCCATGCATAATATGAGGCACACAAGAGCCATGATTTTAAGAGTGATAAAACTAATGACACTTAAGAGTTTGCTCTTGAGCAGGACATCTGAGGAAATGCCTAATCTAATATTTTGTGCATCATATATATATATGACCACAGGAGGCTTGACTGATAATGTAAGGTCTCAAATGAAAGACATCTATTTTCCCACTTTATTGAAATGATTATAATCTTTGCATCATATGTGATGCACAGAGTGTACTGTAAATAATTTATGATTTTCACGTTTTTTATTCTTATCTATTTGCTAAATAAGCTGAGTTTCCTTGCAATAATTATAAATTTGAAAATGAGCATGTATGTTTGGGTAGTACATATGAAAATACCCTGGATAAACAAAGGGTTAAAATTACTTGAAAATTTTATTCAATGTACAAATGTTGAATGCCCCATCTTCACAGATGACTGCCATCCTGCCCATCAACACCTACAATCTAGATCATTGTTTCCACTCAACTTTGAAGGTGGCTCTTCAAACCAGCAGCTGATTTGCAAGGCCTATAGCATAGATGAAGGATGTGCTCCAGAGTCTTCACAAGGTTAAGTGGATGTTGCTGTGATAGGTCATCCTTGTGTACCACAATATGCTTCTTCAATCCGGATGTTGATTCACATACTTCTCTGCAAATCACTGGGTCATGGAGGTAATACAGAGTGAGGGCGTCTCTCATGGCAGTACATACATACATACATACATTCATTGGAGGTACAGGGTGTGGCAGATTGTTCTGAGTTACATGTTATCAGTAGCAGGCCTAAACTTGACCTGGCTTGAAAAGTTGATCAGTGCAATAAAGCAGACATATTCCATAAAAAATGAAGAGAAAATTGAATAAAAATAAAGAACTCTCAGTAGCCTCTTGTGTCTTAATGGCATTATTGCCCCTCTTGGGATGAACTGATTAAAAAAAATAACTATTTGAAAAAGAGTAAAAGTAAAAAAAAAATATAAGCAGTAGCTTGCTGGTTTTCATTTCTCTCTTATCAGAGCTTTACCGGGGGAAAACAAAATGCTGTGCACAGCTAAAAGAATTTTATATATACACCCTTGTGCAAATTAATTCAAACAACCACTTTAGTTTCCTTTCTTTCAACATACTGTCAGTTTTAGACCCACCGGAGTAACAGGGTATAATCAATTTCTATTTTTTCTTCAGATTAGGTCATTTGCAGTGGTGTGCTTAATATGAATCCATTTTTGGGATGTATGATGAAATTTGTTTGGCCTTGAAAAATATTGTGTCATCTGCGATTGCATCAGATTTTTATCATGCTCAGACACTACTGTCTCAGCTGTCGATTAGTTGTTCTACGGCCATTGTTTGTGATGGACATTACTCCAAGGAAGCGTATAAAGCTGCATGAACACACTGGCAAGCCTTACCAGTGAACAAATCAAAGTACTATAGACTGGCCAGGAAACTCTCCTGATTTAAATCCAATTGAAAATCTGTAGTCAATCTGCAAGGAATGACTTTGTGAAATGTACATACAAATTACTAACCTCTGCACTTGGTCATGTTTTATTGAAAAAATATGAAAAAAGTAAATAATAACAAAATTATTCATTTTGTTTCAGTTAGTTTGCACAAGGGGTGTATGTATTTTATTTTCTCCGATCAAAGCACTGATGGGAAGAATGAAAACTGTTCAGTTGGTTTTAATCCGTTTTTTATTTTGATTTACCATTCCTGATGGGCAGTGGAGTGAGACCAATCTTTTGATCACAATTCCCCAGTGGAAAAGTAAACTGATTCCTTCTCTCTGCTAGATTGGGGTGAGACCATGAGCAAGTCTTAGCAATGCCTAAGCTTCTCGTGACAGTGATACAGTAATGCCAGTGAAGGAGGCTAGTTAATTGCAGTTGCTGGGTTCTGTCTGCATCTTACTGATTGGTCAGCACTGTTCTCTTTGGTAGGTTGATGAGTTCTCCAGCAGAACCAAATGGTTGGTGATACCTAGTACAGTTAAGATGTTACTGCAGGTCATTTGACATTTGGCTAATGCCTCTTTACACAAATTTCCAAAAAGCTAGGATACGGTCTCAAACCTTTGAAAGACAACCTCCCTAAGGAAAAAAATTAAAAAAAACACTCAGTGTACTTGAACCACCATGACTGTCTGACTGGGTGTCAGGAAGAACATCCAACCTTGTAAAACCTTGCATCAAATTATTATAGCAGAAGATCCCCTATCAGGCAGGACCCGCCTTGTTTTGTCCTGCCTTAATAAATAAAAAAAATGGTTATGATATGTTGTTCAGAGAAGAAAGCTAGTATAGAATAACCTTTTCCTAAGGCTTTACTGAACTTAATTCACAGCAGTCAGTAATCAACAAAGGAAGAAGAACGCAGCTTTTAAAGAGGAATGGGAACGTGTGAAAAGTCACGTGGAGAGTAAAGCTAGTTTCCTTTTTTATTCTTTACGAAAATATAACATTCTCCCCCACTTGCAAAAGAGATTGTAATTGAAAAAGTTTTATAAATCCAGTCGTTGGATTGGCCTACGAATCCTGCTAGACCGGCGTGGAGGTAGTTCACCACTGGAAGAGCCAGACCTCTGAGAAGGCTGACTTTCAGGATTCTGGCTATTATTCACAGAATCATTTTCTGTATAAGGTGAAGAAATATTAACGGGACCTGCATCAGACAAAAGGGTTGAATCTCCATGGTCCACGTCGGGTTGAGTATTTTCAGGTCCATTTTCAGGTCCATCTGGGCGTGGAAAACGTGCCAACCATCTCAGCACCACCGAATCTTCCCGACCATCATTGTGACGTATTTTGGCATGCGTAGGGTTGGCCTCAAGGAGTTCCACCACCTCAACGATAGGGTCATATTTACTTCTGCCACCGAATTGTTTTAATAATACCTCCCCAGGCTCACAGAGCCAAACAGGCATCGCAGTACCGGTGGAGGACCGCCTTTCAAAATTGAACATTCGTTCGTGGGGGGTTGCATTCGTAGTGGTACATAGCAGGGAGCGGATAGCATTTAACACATCATGTAGAACATCCTGCCAAGCACTAATTGGTAACTGTTTTGATTCCAGGGCCAATAATATGGTATTCCAAATTATGCCGTTGTAACGTTCGCATTGGCTATTGCCTCTAGGGTTATAAGCAGTAGCATTACTGCATCCAATTCCAAGTCGTGTTAGAAATTGTTTAAATTCTCCTGACATAAACGAAGTTCCTCGATCGGAGTGAATGAACGAGAGAAGCCCAAAAATGGAGAAAATACTTGTCAGGCACTGAATAGCAGTTTGCGAAAAGCAATCGCGGCAAGGAAAGGCAAAGGGAAATCGACTATATTAAATCGACGACAGTAAGTATATATCGGTAACCTGTCGGGATACTGGGACAGGCCTTTGTAGTCTATGGAGAGACGCTGAAATGGCGCAGTAGAACGGATCAGAACATTACTAGCAGAATCGAAGAATTGGGGTTTTATTTTGGCACAGGTCGTACATTCAGAAGTCACACGTCGGACTTCATCAGGAATCTGACATATTCTGAGACCTTACAAAATGCCAAAAGCGCTGTACCCCAGGA